CCCCACAAAACGCGCCATATTCAACTAAAGCGGCAATCAGCCTCTAAAGGCTAGTCTGATATAAAAACGATCCCCTTTGAACATCTGAGCTTGCATCCTAAAAATCAGCAATTAAAACCACACTCATGAAAAATTTTAACAGGCTACAAACTTTGAAATTTACATTTGTTGCTAATTTGTATATTGTAAACAAAATGTACGCACATTGTTTGTAGTCATTATGTGAAAATTTTATTTATATTTTTAGCGTTCCTTTGAATTTAAAAATTGCAATTTCAGCTTTAGTATTTAAATTTTAAACTTTTATCGCAGTTTGTGTAATGGTGATGCTTAGCCTATGCTTGTACTGGCAGGTCGGTATTACCGGTTCGAAATGTTGTTGTTGCAAATTTTAACTGCTTTGACTATCTCCTCCTTCTTTGGGAATGCGATCAAAGGTAATGGCACGCTAAAACTAGCTTGGCATTCTTAGTGGAGCCCTCAGAGAATGTTATTCTTCCGACTTATATGACAAACATTCAGTATGAAAGCATTCAGTTCCAAAAACGTGCCAAAAATGCTTCCCATCTCAGCCCTCTGAACTTCATTATTACCGATTTGCGCTGCAAAGATGTCAAGATTTCACTAATGTCAAACAACAAAAGTATTGCTGTCGGCAGATTCGATGAACGGACGGATGCCTATGCTGACAAGCGCTTTGATTCCAATGGAGTGTTGACACATCTTAGTATTTATTTCAAGCAGAGTGGTAAACTTTTTTTGAGGTGTTGTCTATTTTTAGCTGCAAACAGTGGCACTTATATTTTAACAGTGGAGGCTTGCTCGGACTCGGGGTCTGCAGAAATTCAAGTTCTCTGTGAGCCTCAGCTGAAATTTTTTCGACATGTAGATTGTTTTATTTTAGCATTTCGTCTCATTTCGCTGGCGTAACCACCCGTGGATAAACATTTTTAGCTGCTCCGATTCTGCCGATCTACTCAAAACCGAAGCGGGTTTTACAGGGTGATCCACTTCGCATTTCTTGTCGGGTTTCTGGTTTTCCTTGTCCTGATGGTGTACAATGGTTGTTTGCTCCCATTTCCACCGAACTTTCCGATGATAAAGCGGCGATTTCCGATGCATCGGCGAATCTAAAGCCAATTAATCTTTTGGACGATTTATGGAAGGACGCCAGCTTTGTAACAGAGGACGGCACCCCAAATGATACCCTTCGATTCAGCGCAATCACCGTAGCCCAAAACGGTCTTTTCGCCTGTAATGTTTCCAACATACTTGGTAGTGATTCGACCTTCCTTCTAGTCGGGGTCAAAGGTAAATGAATGTCTTCGTGCGAGTTTCTATGCGCAGCCTGACTGTTATGGAATTTGGTATCCATTTTTTTCGTACTTAGTAGTAGGAGTCTGATCTCCGCATGTCTGAGGTTTGCACGTAGTCTTGCACATTTTTTGAAGTCCTGGCGCGTTTGCAAGTAGTAGGTTTGGATCTGGGTTCTGTCATCGGTGTTCGGCTTACTACGCGAAATGGAACCTTGTTGACCCAATCTTTGTTTACGAATGCAGTACTCTTCAGCGTTCGGTTTGTGTACGCCTTTGCGGATCAAATGTAAATAAAATTCGTTTGCAAAACTAAATGCAAGCTTGTGTTAATTCTCAAAGCTTCTCCATTCTGGAACCCCTCTAGCATGAAAAATCGAAATTTGCGTACGCACAATGTATCATTTTACTCTATTGATTCTGGTTGGCTGCAGTTTTAGTAGAGCTTTGCTTAGGTGATGCTCCGTTTTGTACTCTTTCGATTTTTCCCATCGCTTAAAGTAGCCTAGCCATATTAGTCACCTTATTCCTCTGGGTAGTTTTCACTCATCTACCTATTCATGTTCGATCATCCGTCTTTGCAATGATTTTAAACGTACATATCGAGGATCACCTATTTGCTGATTACGGTATTTCTAACTGTGCATATGCTTCATTTCACAGACCGATGGGCGGCTCTATGGCCATTTATTGGAATAGTGGTTGAGGTGACAGTTTTAGTCGCAGCCATCCTTCTCTATGAACGTCATCAGATACGGAAGAAGCCCGCTGCTCCGGAAACAACTGGCAATCCCGATGCCACTTCACCTAATGGCAACGCTGTCGACAAGTGAGCTGGGCTAAATCTGTCGTCTTCTCGCACCTTTATTTGTGCCTGCGATTGTTTAGTATAGTTTCGGGCCTATTCCTCAAAACTTTACAGCTTTGTTTGTTGTTGCCCTTAGCGTGATGTAAACTGTCGCGTCCTACCTGGGTTGGAAGTGTACCATACTCTATACTTACCAAGTTATTCAACATTTTGGCATCTCTCACTTTTTTGTTCCAGGATTCCCAAGCCAGACGAAGTTCGTCTTCGCAACGCCAGAACGTAGAAGACCAACACTTATCCTTGCTCATTACAATCGGTTTAGTCTGTTCCCAGTGATTGACTAGTTCGATTTCTCGTTCTATTATCCCCTTTTGTGCGCCCCCACCACATTTTGCTGCATTATAAATTTGCTTGCCATTTCACCTCAACGCATCAGCTCCCTACCTCCTCTTAAATTTCTGTATTCTATGTACCCGTAATCACCGGCTTCATTTTACGTTCACTTTTGTGAATAAAGTAGGGGAAATTGGGGTCGTAGATTTGTCTTCTTCCTCTCAAGACACTTTTGTAAGCTTTGGTTAGATTGAGAAATAACACGAAAGTGATTTTTCCGTAATCATGTGGCTCGAGGAAGTGA